TTTTTTATTGATTTCCAGAGAGGAAGGGCGAGGGAGAGAGAGATGGAAACATCAATGATGAGAGAGAATCATTGACTGGCTGCCTCCTGCATGCTCCCTACTGGGGATTGAGCCCGCAACCCAGGCATGTGCCCTTGAGCGGAATCAAACCTGGGACCTTTCAGTCCACAGGCCGACACTCTATCCACAGAGCCAAACCAGCTAGGACTTCTCTGTTATTTTTAAAAACAACTTTCCTGTTAGTTTTTTCCTCTTTTAAAATGGAATTTATTGGGGTGACATTGGTTAGTAAAATTTTATATGTTTCAGGTGTAAAATTCTATAATACATCTGGATATTATAGTGTGTGTTCACCACCCCAAGGCAAGTCTCTGTCCATCACTTTTCCCCACCTTTACCTTCCCACCCCCAATTTCTTCTGGTAATCACCATAATGTTGTCTGCATTTATGAGTTTTTCTTGCTAAATTTCTTCACCCTTTTCATCCAGCCCCCCTAGACACAGACAACAGTATGGTGATTACCAGAGGGAAAGGGGTGGGTTGGGGGTAGTAAATGGTAAAGGCTGTCATATATATAGTGATGGAAGATGATATGACTTTGGGTGGTGGGCACACAATGCAATATACAGTTCATGTATCATAGAGATGTTCACTTCAAACCTATATAGTCTTATTAACCAATGTCACCCCAGTAAACTTAATAAAAAATATAAATTGAAATCCTTATGGCATTTTCAATAAAAAAATAAAATAGAAAAAGATTCTATGATTTTTTTTTATTGTTGACAGTATTACAGATGTCCTCCATCCCCCACCCCCCTGTCCTTCCCCACCCAGGCTTTCTCTACACGACTGTTTGTGTCCATGGTCTATGCATATATGTTCTTTGATTAATCTCTTGTCATCATCCCTTTTACTTCCCTCCCCTCTGAATTCTGTCATTCTGTTCCATACATTCATGCCTCTGGACCTATTTTGTGCATAAAAGTGGACCAGTTAGGTGAGAGGAGTTGGATAATACTGTGGTTCCTCTGAACAGTCAAAGGATAAAATAAGGCCCTGGTTAGTGTGGTTGAGCTTAGTTGGCTTAGTTGGTTGAGCGTCAATCCATGCATGGAGAGGTCATCATTCAAATTCCTGGTCAGGGCACATGCCCCGGTTTCCGGCTTGATCCCCAGTAGGGAGTGTGCAGGAGGCAGTCAGTCAATGTTTCTGGCAGGTCTCTCTCTCTTTCCCTCTCCATTCTTCTCTCTCTAAAATCAATAAAAACTTCTTTTTTTAAAAGGAAGCTGGCCCCTGCCAGTGTGGCTCATGGTTGAGCATTGACCTATGAACCAGGAGGTCACAGTTTGATTCCCGGTCAGAGCACATGCCTGGGTTGCTGGCTCAATCCCGAGGAGGGGACATACAGAAGGCAGCCAATCAATGATTCTCTCTTATTGATGTTTCTCTCTCCTTCTCCCTTCCTCTCTGAAATCAATAAAAATATAGTCCTAGCCGGTTTGGCTCAGAGCATTGGCCTGCGGATCGAAGGGTGCTAGGTTAAATTCCGGTCAGGGGTACGTACCTCGGTTGCAGGTTCCTCCTCAGGCTGGGGCCCTGGTCAGGATGCATGTAGAAGGCAACCAATTGATGTGTTTCTCTCACATTAATATTTCTCTCTGTCTTTCCCTCTCTCTTCTGCTCTTTTTAAAAATCAATGGAAAAACATCCTCTGGTGAGGATTAAAAAATTAAAATATATATATATTTTTAAAAAGCTGAGGCATGGTTTAGGTAGGCTGGATAGAATTCCCATATTTTACATGGTATGGATACTAGATAGTAAGTTACTAATAGAATAGTAGGTAGAACTCCTATAATAGAAAATAATGGAATAAATCAAAGGAAATCAGAGTGGGGCAGTTATGATGGGTTGTTTTGATTTTTTACCTAGATATTCTACATTTCTTCATTTCTCTACACCGTCAATTATGTCTGGTATCTGTACAAAGAACTAAGGATGAAACACACCCAGAGTGGACAGAGCACATTTTCCTTGGTAAGTTTTATTCAGAGTTAATAGTTAAGAACAGTATGCTAAAACAAACCCATATATCCTTGATCAATATTGTAAACACTCAGCACAGACTAGGTGAATTAAGATTAATAAAAGGAAAACATGTTCTCACTGAGTTTCTATCCTGTTAACATGATTTCCTCATATCTCATACCACCAAAAAAAAAAAAAAAAAGACTCCATTATGGGAAACATTATGCACGGTACTGCCATTCCTGCCTGGTTCTATTCAGTAAAAGAAATAATCCTGGCTCTATGCCAGTACATCATTGTTGCTAAAGGTCTTGGCGAAGAGTCAGGGAAAGTGTTCAGTTTGGAAACCTGGGATTTGAACTATAGGTATGGAAAGGGCGAGTGTTCTGCTCTGCTGTATTTTTTCAGTATGAGTAGGTAAAAGATACTGGTTTGCAGAAGAGCAGGGGAATTAATGTATGGTAATCAGAAAATAAGATTAACCCAGGGAGAAGTTAGTTGTCTTTCCCCCTTTGGTTCACAGAGTTTTGGCACTGTCTAGCATTATAATTATTCACTAAGTCAGTACATCTGCACTCTTTGTGTGCATGTATGTATTTTACATATCATATAATTCACCTATTTTAAATATACAATTCAGTGGTTTTTAAAGTAAACTTATCAGGTTGTATAGTCATCATCATATGACAGTTTCAGAATATTTTCTTCACCCCAATAAAATCTTCCATGCCCATTTACTGTTAATCCCCTTCCTACCTTCTGCACTAGACAAGCACTAATCTACTTTCTGTCTATAGATTGTCCTTTTCTGGACATTTTATATAGATGGAATCATACAGTATATAATTTCCTTTGTCTGTTTTATTTAATTTAGCATAATGCTTTTGAAGTTTATCCATTATAGTATTATATAAGTAATTCATTACTTTTTATTGCTGAATAGTATTACATTGTATAGTATATTTTCTTTCTTATTTCTGACTCTTTTAGTATATCACTAAGTGATCTTGGCAGAATACATTTTTATGATATGAGCAATTTTCATTTATTTAAATGTCTTTATATGTTTTATAAACTATAAAACTCTAATAAAAGAAAAAGAAGCAAATTAACCGTACCTCTACGATGCCCACCAGCCCATCAGGAGTGAGTATGCAAATTAACCCAACAAGGATGGCGGGTTAATTTGCATATGCAGGCATCTAGCGGCTGTGTCGTACCCATGGCGACAATGCAGGCATTCCATACCACCCCAGCCGCTCTGGGCCTCTGGGCAGCGTGGGAAGGCGGAGGAACGAAGGCAGAAAGGCAGCTCTGGGCCTCTGGGCAGTGTGGGAAGGTGGAAAGGTGGCTCCAGGCCTGAACTAAGGCAGAAAGGCAGCTCCAGCCAGAGTGAAGGTGGTGCCAGCAGCCAGGGGAAGGAAGGCCCATTCTTGCACAATCTTCGTGCATCGGGCCTCTAGTTATACATATTTTTCAAAATATTTTTATCGATTTCAGAGAGGAGAGGAGAGGGAGAAGAAGATAGAAACATCAATGATGAGAGAGAATCATTGATTGCGTGCCTGCTGCACACCCCTTACTGGGGATTGTGCCCACAACCCAAGCATGTAACCTGACTGGGAATCAAACTGGTGACCTCTTGGTGCATGGGTCAAGGCTCAACCACTGAGCTACACCAGCCGGGCAGAACAAAATAATTTTTGAAGAAAAGGGAGAGAGAGACAAAGATTAACTGTCATATATGGTATTATATTGCTTTATAGTCATACAAATGCACATATTGTGCTTTTCTTTATGTAACACATGCTATAACACTAATATTCCAAGAAGATAAACTTTAGCCAAAAAATTTAACTCCACTGTCTATTATTCTGTCATTTTAGCTTTATTCCTAAAGCCTTGACATGTTTTTTTTTTCATGTTTGAGTT